TTCAGTTGGGTAGCTCCCTAACTGAACATAAACAGTAGTCTCTTCTAGAAGTCATGTTCTCAGCCTTATGATAGTTAACTTAGGCCTTAGCAGTTAATAGTCTTCCTTCTTAAAAGGTAGACTAAATTTTCACAGAAAATGGGGTTAGGTTGGGGGTACTACAATACCAAATTCTTAAATCATGAGCATTTTCTTCACTGTGTACCTGAGGGAAATCATGCAGCTGAGTTGGTTTGGCCTGGTCCCTCAAGAGAAAAGCATGTCACCATATTTGAATGAGGGGTACTGTGCTTTGAATGGATACTATCACTCTTTTCTCCATGAACAGTGCAGATTGCTGTCTGGAGCGCCAGTTTGAACAGATTCCCTGGTGCTCCCTCTGCTCCTTCCATCACTACAGCAAGTAAAAGAACCATATTGAGGAACTGGGAGTCTGAGAAAATGAGTTGTGCTCAATACCAACCTCCCTATGAGGAAAACCGTTCCATATGCAGCTATTTTGGTATCTTTTCCACATGTACTCTGAATCAGGGTTTTTCTATTAGAAATCCTTCGGAATCAGCAAAAGCTGGGATGACCCAGTCACCTTGATTTGCAAATTAAAAGAACAAACCTAGGTTATCAGTTTTCACTGTAAAGGAGAAGCTCATCTCTTCACAGTATAGTGTTGAACTGGTTCTGACACCTCTTTAGAGAGAAAAATTCCAAGAGTAAAAGTTAATTTTAGGGAAAGGTAGATGGTTCTTTCTGAATTTTTCATTCTAAAAATTTATATAATATGGAATAACATAAAGCTACTAAACTGCTTTGTATGCTATTAAGAAATAGCTCCTCAAAATGTAGTCATGTTTCACAGAAGTTGTACTATGTCAAAGCTTTTTAAAGTGTACTCCCAGTTCTCCTCTGTATGGAAAAGGAACATTGTGTTACTTAATGAATTTATTTATACAGAGAATTTGTTGACAACTCTTAATTCCAGCCATCCACACTGTTGTGAGGTGGCAGTAGCACATGGGAAGATGAACTCTCCCTGTTTGTTTATCCTTTTTTCTTTGGCTGTATCTGATGACAGTATAAATGTTCTTAATAAAGTTCTATGTTCTTTTTGAAGTTTCCTCATGTAGGTTGTTTCTGTGACTGATTCGTTTGATGTGGGATGAATTAATGGACTGGGAGGGAAGCAGAGTACAGGAAGTATTCAGCTACGTTATGGCAGAGAAATGCTGGAGTATCAGGATCACCAGGAGGGCTTATTAAACTACGGGTGGCTGGGCCCTACCCACAGAGCTTCTGCTTGAGTAAATCTGAGCAAAGGGCTGATGGCTTTTCTAATTACTTAACGCTGATGCTACTGAGTTTAGGGACCACATATTGACAGCTACTGCTGTAGACCAACTTTAAAGTCTGACTTGTTTCAATTTAAAATATTTAAGCAGTTTCAGGGTTTTATAGTTTATTATGTAGCAGATTCCTTCTGGGCAGAGAATAGGAGCTTTTTGGTGATCTGCTGCTTAGTAGTTGTCTTAGTAACTTTTCTTCTTGCTGAAGTTCAAGGAGGAAAGGTTTATTTCAGCTCACAGTTGGTAGAGCTTTCAGTCCATTGTCCGCTGGCTCTAAGGCAGTGTGGCATGGGAGAGAGGCATCACAGACGAGAAACACTCCATGGCAAAGCAGGGCAGGCAGAGGGCAGCAAAGCAGTGAAGTAGCAGCAGCAACCAAGCTTGCCTTTGTAGTTCATCCAGGGTACCCGCCCTTTTGGCAGTGCCACCCACACCCAGGGTGGGGTACCCTTAATCCTAGCATTGTGCAACCTAGCTCCAGCCATCTCCAAAACTCCCCACCTATAACTGCATGAGGCTTTGGGGGGAACATCTAGATACAAGCCATAACAGTAGTGCTTAAGTGCTTTCAAATGGACACCTTCACTTGGTGCCTGGAACTTCCTGCAGCATAGGCCTGGCTGCACCTTAAATTTATTATGTTGCTGGGGATCAAACCAAGGCCTTGCACATGCTAGGCAAGTGCTCTACCAGTGAGTTATATCCCTGGCCCCACTCTTTGAAATTAAAGCAAAATTGGGGAATACTAAGCCAGGCATGGTAGTTCATGCCTGTAATCCAGCACTTGGAAGCTGAAGCAAGAGGATCACGAATGTGAGTCTCACTTGGGGAATTTAGCAAGATCCTGTCTCAAAAAATGAAAAAAAGGGCTGGGATGTAGCTCAGTGCATAGAACCTGGGTTGTACTGCAAGGTGTATGTGTCTGTTTGTATGTGTGTGTACCTTGGGGAATAGTGGAAATCTGTAGGAATTCCTAGGGTAGTGTTCACTAGAGTTCCTTGGTAAGACTTTGATCCATGTGCAAGAAGGACATACAGAAAATCTAAACTTTCTGGTTCTTCTAATCCAGAAAGCTTGGGAGATGTCTTCTTGCTAGTGCTTCTGGTGCTCTTTGGCATCTGATCACTTTATCTGAATTCAGGTGCTAATTCCCATCCACTTCCTCTGCAATAATAGGTTTTATACAGTGGAACTTACAGCCAGAGATTCTATTTCTTATTTTATTTCTTTTGAGATTCTGTTTCTAATGTGGGATAATATGAAAACCTACCTGCAGTGACACCTCTACACACACACACACACACACACACACACACACACACACACACACTGGATACTGGTGATCAAACTCGGTGTATACTAGGCAAGTGTTCTGCCACTGAGTTACATAACCCCAGCAGAAACTCACATTTTAAATAAGCTGCCCAGATGATTCTGATTGAGGTAATCAATAGACTGCACTTTGAGAACAATGCTCTACAAAGCATAGTTGATAACATGATAATGGCTGCTTACACAAATAAGAGTACTTACTGTGGACCAGGTACTGTTACTGCACATACGCTTTGTGATAGACACTCTGATTATTCCAGTTTTACACATGGGAAACTAAGACTGTCAGTTCTGCATGATCCTAAACAAGTCAAATGGTGAAGTTGCAATTCAAACCCAGCTCTGAGTTTGGCTCCAAGCCTGTACAGTATAAGACTCTGTCAGACATACGAATGAATCTGACTTACAAACGTTCTCCCAGAATGGAACTCATTCATAAGTTGCGGACTTACTGTACACCTTAACTATCTACCACATAGATTGATATGTTGTGTTGCATCTCCACTATCACCAAGTCCACATTTTGTATAACATGTGTCTTACTTTTTTTCATCGCTGAGACAAAATACCTGACACCTAGTGTTAAAGGAGGAAAGATTTATTTAGCTCACAGTTTGTAGCAGTTTCAGTTCATAGTTGGGCTGGCTCCTGGGCATGGTGGCTTGGCAGAGGGGCATCACAGAGGAGAAAATGTTCATGGCAAAGCAGCAAGTGACAACATTAGCCTTGTTTCTGTCCCTTATATTTATCCAGGCTACCCACCTTTAGGGCTCATAGCACTCACACCCAGGGAAGAGCACCCTTAATCCTACCCAGAACTATGCCAAACCAATCAGTAGACTAATTTAGTGATCACACACCTTTAATCCCAGCACACTCTTAGAGCGTAATCACACACTGTAGATCCAGCTACCTCTGAAAAAGTCCTACTTATGACTACATGCGGCTTTGAGGGGACATCTAGACACAAGCCACAACAACATGTTAGGTTACAATGAAATTAACATGCCAGTTTGCAAATTAGAAAGCAACATAGCTAAAAGCACTACTGAAAGACAGCTGCTTGTAGAGGTATGTTACACCAAATTTACTTTTAAAAATTAAAATACATAGTGGTGTATATATATGGTAAATTTTAACATATCTATATCTATCTATCTATCTATCTATATACATATATATGCATACCATGTAGGGATTTACAAGGTAGGCTTAACACAGCCACCTGGAGAGTGGAGAGTTAGGGGTGGAAGAATGCAAAGAGGCTCTGCAGAGTTGCAGGATCCAGTCAGAAGTTAAAGACGTGAAGCTCACTGCAGTCTGGTATAGTCCATACGGATGCAGAAGCTGAAGGATCTGCATTGGAAGGCTGAAGAGTCTGCAGTGGAAGACTTAAGGAACTGAAGATGAATGTCCAAAGGCAATGATGAAAACTGGAGCTCCTCCAAAGAAGCAAAAAGGAAGCCAACTTCCTTCCCTTTTTATTCCATCTAGGCTACAAGTCTATTGATTGTTGCCGCCAATATCCAGGGTGGATCTTCCCTCTTTAGTAAGTCAGTCATCCAGACACACCAAGATCTTGCTGCACTAATCAGCTAGGTGTTTCTTATTGAAGTTGATTCCACAATTAACTGTCACACCATTTTAATAAATAAATCATTGACTAAAATGATCTATTGCCATGCATTTTACAAATTATACATATTTAAATTCTGTGCTTCATGGGAAAGGTACAAAATAAATTTTGAACTAATTTAAATGACCCTGTGTTTAAAGTCTATTTCTTTGTTTAGCAAAGAAAATTTCATCTTATTTATGGAAATATAAGTTGAGAGAGCATTTAGAAGGTTTAAAGGATACAATAATACATGGATTAAAATGTTGTTTTGTAATTTCACTGTATTGACATCAATAGGATGGGAATGGTTCTTTGGTTATGGTTTTGTGATTTGAGTTGTAAGGTTGCACCTGGAATGCTGTTTTTTTTCTTTTGGTACTGGGGATCGAACTCAGGTCCTTGCGCTTGCACAGCAGGCGGCGAAACCACTGAGCTAAATCCCCGGCCCTGGAATATTTTTAACTGAGGGAAGTTAAACCCTGTTTTCATTCTTCTTTTTGACTGGATGTTACAATATTGCAGGACTTCAGGTGAACTTCACGTCCAATCCTTGAACTTTCCTTACATAGCTGATAGCTGTGGATGCTCAAGTTAGAGGCAGATGTCTTTGGTGTTTGGCATTCTGCCTGTTTGAGTTGCTAGTTTTTCCATGCCTGGCTAGTATGAAGAGAAACTGTGACTTCTTTCTAGACCTTTTTCTTTGCTTGCTTGCTTTTATACGCATTGATGGAACAGAGCAAGTATAGTTGCAGTAAAATTTTATATCACGATAAAGCATTCTATTTCCAGGTGGGTAAAATTTCTCCACTAGCAACCAATAGGAAGCTGTTAATGATTAAACTTATTGGCCAACTAACCAGCAGTTTTTGCAACATGACATAGAGCTTGAGTTAGAAAAATCTCTTCCTTTTTTTTTTTAGTTTGGTATCTTCAAAGCATAGCACTTAGAAACATAAGCAAAATGTTAATTTTTTTAACATAGGGAAAGTTTCCAGTATGATTTTTTTAAAAGAAAAACTCCCTATTATTTAGTTTTAAAGTTCTTAAATCTGTTTGCGCCTCAGAAACTTTCCAGTTTTAGCTCTAGGAAAATTCCACAAAGATGGTGGAGTGCTAAGCAGCAGCAAATCAGTCTGAGATTTGGAGTCCAGATGCTGGAATGTAGCAATGTGGGGAAGAGAAGAAGAGGGAAGCAAGTCCCTGGGACCCAGGAAGGATCTGAAGTGAAAATTGAGCCCACAGGGAGAGCAAAGGAAGGGACCTCAACACTGAAGAGGGAAGTGGCAAACGGTGCTTTCTCCCTGACACCGAGCTCACAGTATGAGACAGCTTTAACCTACAGAGGCAAGGTGAGTACAAGTGAGCCTCCATAGAGAAACACACCAGTGGAATGGGAGCAGTGGATGCTGCAGACTGCAGTGGCTGGTCAGTGATTCAAATTCAGATGTCCCCAGGAGAGGGCCATTGGCCAGTTGCCATTTAGGGGCCAACTGAACCTGGGACTCAGAGCAGCAGTGGGTTAGCTCTATCTCAGGCCTCCAAGTGTCAGGGTGAGGCTGTCATGGGAGACACCAGGGTCAGGGAGCCAAGGTCAGGGCAGCAAGAGGGACTCAAGGTGTAGTGGGCTAAACAACTTGGGTCCCACCTTCACAGAAACCAGGATGAGCCTGAACTTCAGTGGAGTTGGAACCACAGGGTTGCTGGGATTATCCACCACCCCACCATTATTCTACTGCAAGCTTCCTGGGATGAATCAGCAGGGATCTGGGCTCTGTCTGCCTCCTTGTCTTCTAGTGACAGCATAGACATGCCCTGAAATGGATATTTTT